ATCTTTCAATCTAGTTTCCATACTCCTGACTTTAGCCTTAATATCTTTAACTTCCTTAAGTATCTCGCCTTGATTCTCAATAATTTTCGAAATAGATCTTGCAAGTGCTTATAAATAAATAGATTAAATTAATCATATAATTTTAAATTAATCTAAATAACATTAAACAATTGTGATTACATTCGAAACTATTCAAATTTTCTTATATCAGCAAAAAAAAATATATGTAAAACTCCGTAAGTTTTTATGCGAGCGTAAACTTACGAAAAACTTACGATTAGTTTGGAGTATTATGTAGAGGTAATAATTATGAAAGTTTACGCTATAGAATTTCGGAGTATTAAATAGGAGTAATAATTACGAACATTTACAGCCTAGTACAGTCTAGGAATATACCATATTTGGTCATTGCAGATCGCACCTTATCTAGTAATGATTATCCGTTAGGTTGTTCTAAATTTTTTTCTAGATTATTTCACGTGTTAGCTAAGTGACCAATAAAATTACAGTAATATCAAGTACAGAAGTAGTTTTACAATTTTTTTTTTAAAAAAAATTTTTCTTTAAATAATTATAAATAGCCTCTAATTAAGTATTACCAAGTATTGTAAAGTGCTGACTACCATAAAGTGCTGTATACAAGATCCTGTAGATCCATGAATTAGACCCAGACGCAAACCACAAAATTATTAAACACGGTTTTTTTAAATAGTTAGACTTCCTATTGTAATACAAAGTGTGTATGCACTTTATATTTTTCTTTTTATTACATAACCTCTCAGTATGTAATAGACCCGGGTCTACTATATGGTTTAAAAATTGGTGGAATGTAACAGACCCGGGTATTGTATAAGGCACTTTATGTAGCAAATTCACCTACAAGTTGTATTCTCCAGCTCTTATACCATAAGCATTACAACCAGCAAATGGTAAAATTTTAATAAGACGTTATTAATGTAGTTTACTTCAATTTAAAGCTGCTTTTATTAAATAAAAAAATGAATAAAAGATAAATAAATCATCATAAAAAAATATATATATATATTGTATAATTATAATAAGCACATTATCTGGGTGCCGCCATACTTGTGAACTGAATAACACCTGGACAAAATTAAATGCTCAATATCCATTCTTTTAAACACCAATTCCATTATGATAGCAATAATCAACATTAAATGCTCCATTAGTATGTCTCAACTGATTTTGAATAAATGAATGCCTTGTACAGTACTTCAAAAACTGCTATTTATTACAGATATTAAATTTGTGCGGCCAAGAATAAAGACAAATTCTAAAATGGATTAACAGATAAAATAATTAATATTTAACTTTTACATTTTAATAATAATAACAATAGCCAATATAATTATTTCGTTAGCATTACCTATTCCTATGGCTCATACTTATTCTTACCAATTCCAATTCTATTTACAGCGACGATCTAGACCGAATTTTCTACTCGAATAGTCCATCTCTGCAAATTTTTAATAATATTTGAACGCTTATATTTGCCCTTTCTGACTACAACCACATCATCTTATGAAATAAACTATAATTAAAAACTGACATCATTCTAGAATATAAATAAAATAACACAGTGATAATAACATACCATTTGCTACTCTTCTAATCTTGCTAATATCAATGGTCCAGACACTTTGTACTTGAAGATGTCTTGTGGCTAATTTTGTAACAATTGAGTATGATTGCAGAACCACTTTAAAGTGTGTCCTCGAGTTCAAAACAAAGCTCCAAGTCAAAAGAGATGTGTTAATCCAGATTTCTCCCCATTCCTGCCATTAGTTAAAAGAAAAAAAAACTCTCAAACAGGCAATTGCAAATCGAAAGAATTTTCCAAAATTTAATAATACAAACCTGTAAACCTCTCGCATCCTTTATTACTAAACAGCACTTTAAACGTGATATGTTACCACCCCTAACTACAAGAACTGAATTAAGAAATATATACATTTTAGCAATGACTATATGATGATGCTAAACAATAAATAAAAAAACTATTAATGATAATTGAATCTAAAACAAAAATTATCATATGATTAGATTACCGCTTCGTTGTAAAATCATACATTCACGTAACACTAAAAGCAATACCCTATTTTCAGGTTTGTTAAGAGTTCATTATGAATGTTAGAACTACGCTAAACATAATACAGTACCCGGAACCTGCACATCCTAAAATAACTAAGATCATGAAACAAAATGTTATTAGTAATAAAAAACCCTAATTGAAACAAAAAAACATATAAAATACTTAGCTATATAAATAACTTGATAAAAATAATTTAATTCTTATTGCATAAAAATGCAAATAAAAATACATATACCCTGAGTGTTAAAAAGCACTATATACTTTTTATTTTTAAGTGGCTCTATATATAGAGATCAAGATAATTACTTATGCAAAATTATCATAATTTTGCATGAATAATTATCTTGATCTTTATATAGGGCCACTTAATAATAAGGAGCGTATAATGACTTTGAATACCCAGGTATATTAATAAATAAGAACCACATAAATTACAATTTCTATTGATCTGTTTCCAAATCTTCTGGACAATCTTGATCATTAAGCTCATGATCCGCATCGAATAAGTATTTAACTTCTTGTAGTATTTCTAACAATTCTTTTCGACTTTTCGACTTTATTCTAGAATATTTT